TCGTTTTCTACTTCAGAAGTAATAAGAAGAGAACGTTTTGAGAAATTGCGACCCTCATCATGACTGAATCTGGCCTGCAAGAACCCTACCATACACACAGAGTGTTACCCGAACTACAGATTACTAAAAGCTTTCAGGCCAACGCGCGGTCTTCGAAAAAAATTTGGCTGCCCGTTTCTTATTTTACGCGAGCAGGGGGGCGGTTTGACCCCCATTTTTGGAGGTGCGCCGGATGCAGTGCGCGCGCGTCGTGTGGGATGCGCCGTGCGGCGCACGTGCGCAGTGCAGCGCATCGCGATGCGCGGCAAGTATGCTGTGAGTACATACGATGCGCTAGGAAGCGACAAGCTGATTGATGTCAAGCAGACAAGTTGATTGATGTCAAGCTCATTTCGATAGGTGATATTTTTGTGACCCGACGAACTCACACTCGTGAGCTCCTGCTATGAAACCGCTGACATTACCAATTTTATAAAAATAGCCGATATGAAACCGGCCACCTCGCCAAGAGATGCCAGGTCGACGGGGGTGAATGAGGAAAAAAGGCCCGCTGAGTGGTTGCTGCCAAGCCAGCCCCTTCTCGTGGACCAGGAAGTCGATCGACCGAAGCCGCCTGCTAGTGAACTACCAAGGAGATTGAAAGGCTACAATCTATGTGTCCCCCTAGGCCGCTGCAGCCGCCGCCTCCGCCCCCGACTGGTGGAGGCCGGGCGGCCGAGGCCGGGCGGCCGAGTTTGCGCGCGGCCGCGCCAGGGCCAGGCGGGGGTGTGCGCAGAAAAACAGTGTGCGCGCGCCGCCTGCACGTCGGCCACTATGACCCTACCCGAAAAAGAAAATTAATTTTTGAAATTTTGGGGGGGTTGTTTTTTTGGTGAGTGACAAAAAAAAATAATAAATAAATAAATATTGATTGATTGATTGATTGATTGATTGGTCGGGGAGGGGTCCTCCCTTCCCACCCCCCGACACACACACACACACACACACACACATACACATACACACGCGCACACGAACACGCGCGCGCGCACACGAACACGCGCGCGCGCACACACATGCACACGCACACACACACATGTTTCAATTTTTTTTGTTTTTGTAATGAATGAATGAATGAATGAATCAATCAATCCATCAAACAGAAGAAGAAGAAAAAAATTAGGACTCTTGACTTCATATCAGTCACGCAAAAAATGAGAAAAGCACACACACACACACACACACACACACACACGCACACAGACACATGTTTCAATTTTTTTTTTTTTGTAATGAATGAATCAATCAATCAATCAATCAAACAATCAAACAGAAGAAGGAAAAAAAAAAAATAAAAAATTTAGGACTCTGACTCTTTATCAGTCATGCAAAAAATGAAGAAAAAAAAAAATCCTGCTGTTTTTTTATTCATGTTTATTTTTTTCTTTTTAAGTTTTAACCGATTTTCGTTTTTCATTTTTTACTAGTCCTAAAGTCAAATTCAAAAAACAAAAATATGAGGTTGTAATTTTTTTTCTCGTTCAGTTTTTCCGACCCCCAAAAAATGTCCGAAATATCGGGCCGCAAACTAGGCCTGGCGGCTGCGGCGGCGGCCGAATTGCCCGCGGCCTAGGCTGCGGGTGTCACATAGGCTGCAATGAATATATGTACTGCAAATCCAAATCCGCTTTTTTTTTTTTCCATCCATAAATTTCGAGTAGAATTTCCTCTTTGAGAACGGAATATGAATGCCCCCAACCATCTCTACTCCTTGGTACGATGGTTACGTACCCTGCGTAGCACACCGACAAACGTGGTCGGAGCTTTCATGGAAGCCAGAACACGTTCGGACGTTCGTGCGAACGGCTCACGAAAAAAGCGTTTGGTTGAACACTTTTATTTTGCGCTAAAAAAAAATGGTAATAATATACATCTGGCAAAGAAATTGAACAACACTCCCAAGGCAAAAGTTGCTTGTATTGTTATTTTGCACGACTTATATATATTTTTTTCAGATTGTTTTCCTGACATTTTTGTTTTTAAAATATTTTTTGTATACTTGCATTTGGAGGGTTTTTTGGCCGCTTGTTCGCGTTCGGGCGAATATGTGTTCGTGTTTGCCTCCGAACGTGACCACGATGCGATGTAGGTTATGTGAATCCTGAAGACTAATGGGACAGGACCAGAGTCCTGGCGCATTATTCGGATTTGTTCCATCTGCATGCAAATGTTTTTTTTTTCTTTTTTTCTTTTTTTTTATGATCATGGGGCGGTCAATTATTATTGTTAATATTATTTTTAAAGGAGGCGGTCAATTATAGAGCACTGAAAAAAAGGCAAAAAAAAAGGTAAACAAGAATTCGAAATCTTCAGTCAGCTAACACACAGATGATGGTAATTTGAAAATTTGATCACCTAAATCACCCATGCATTCTGGCAGTGTTTTTTTTTTTCTTTTCCCGGGGGACAGTGGTTTTCATGATCGAGTAGGTGCAATAAAGGGGGAGAAAATATGAAAAAATGATAGAAATCAGAAAAAAATGCATGCGCCGTGCGGTGAAAATGGTAGACGTTACAGTCGTCACCCCACCCCGACCCAGCATGGATTGCTCCAGGACCCAGTTTACCCATTCACACGTCTCAACACATCATCATCGACAAACGCAGCATCCTAATTTACAAACACACCAGAACAATTTTTTTTTTTTTTGACCTCTGACAGGGAGAGGGTACCGTCTTCACCAGGATGTAACGTGCGGTCATTATTGTTGCATCTGGCTTCGAAGTTGCCCAAAATTCAGCTGTAATGATCGTACGTACATTGTATTCGGGTGAAGTTGGTAGTCATAAAAGACTCTGAAATCTTTGATGTGTTCTGCACGCAAAGTAATCTAATAAGTCTTCCAAACGCAGTCGCAGTGATCAATAGCACGATGAATCGTAGTGATTCAAAGCTCCTCAAGGTGACCACCGTGAAGTCCCGCGAAGTGGAACCGACCTGGAATGGGCCCAAGTGGTGCAGGTTTTTCTGGATTTTATACCCAGATGAACGCTATCATTTGTGTGCGAAATGTGACTCCCCTGGAAGAGATCCTGTAAGACATGTTCT